GCGGCCAAGGCCGGGCAGAAGTTTGGGCGCGCTGAGCAGCGGGAGCGCGGAGCAGCTCTCGCACTTGCCATGGCCGAGGAGGGCGGGGAGCTTGCGGCGCAGGGCATGGCCCGCGAGGCGGGCGTTGCCGAGCCCTCCGCACCAACCGCAGCGCCTGCAGGCACCTCGGACACTCTTCGGCGCCAAGATCGACGAGGCGTTCTTCCAGTACCTAGGGGGCCTCGACTACGAGGAGGGCGAGCGCGAGGCCCTCCGCGCGCTCGAGGAGCAGCCCCAGGAGGCCGCGGTGCTTTTCGAGGGTAAGCACGCCGAGGCGCGGGCCTGGCAGGAGCAGCTGGCGGCCAAGAGCGCTGCCATCCAGATGCGGATGGCCAAGAAGCGCCACGCCGAAGGCGGGGCTGCTGCGGCCGCGGCCGAGGCCCCGCCAGCGGCGCGGCGGCCGTTGCAGGCAGCGCGGGCGGGCAGCCTGCCGCCGCGGCCGCCGCGGCTGCCGAGGGGCCCGACGGGGCGCAGCCCAGAGGTTCCAGGAGGCCGCGGACAGGCTCAGCGCCGCCAAGCTCGCGGCGGCGGAGGGGGCCTAGCGGGCGGCTAAGCGGCTGGGCCACCGCCAGGGGCTGCTAGCCCTGGCGGAGCGAAGCCGTGATCAGATTGGTCGTCGACGGCACCTTCAACGCCGAGTCCGCCGACTGGCGCAGGAGGTGCTTCGACGGCAGCGAGCTTTGGGCTGCGCCAAGGCAGGGGCTCCGCCGAGGCGGCGACAGTTTCGGGCAATGTCATGCGCCCCGTCTTTCTCGCCGACATCACTTCCATAGGCGACCAGACGTGGGCCAGCATCCAGTTCTCAAGTGCATTCGTCTCGTCGAGACCCATTCAGCATCTGACGCCCTCCAGGAATGGGACGTCAAAGCTCGGCCACGTCATCTACGTTTACTCGCCAACCCAGCCCGACCCTCCGAGGCTCAGTCTGCCTCGGAGGCGACGCGGAGGAGGGCCAACCGAAGAAGTCTGGAGGCGACAGGGCCATTCGAATGGGGGCGGCGCTTCGGACTTGGTCACGGGCCAGAGAATATAGAGTCAGAGAGTGGGCGCTCGAGTCTCAACCTCAACGGGGTGCAGCTGCCGTAGGGAACTCGTCGCTCCGCGAAGGATTTCTTAGAGCGTCGGGCGAAGAGGCGCCGGGCGCCCTTGGTTTCTGTCTTTTGGCCACGGTCTCGTGGGAGCGCAAAGCTTCTACGACAACATTTGTTGGCCGAGGCTAACAAGGACTGCGCTGGCTCCGGGGCTGCCATCCGTTTTTATGCACTTCAAGTGCGCGCGGCAGCTCGCACGTTGGTTCAGAAGGATTGTTTCTCAGCGGCCTTTCAGTCGAGCTGCGGCGTGATCTGGGGATCGCGCGGCGGCGCGAGGTTCGCGCGCCGCGGGGCTCATTTCACCTTGGACAGGCTGACGCGCGGCAGCCCGAGGGTCCACATGCGGCTCTGGATCGACGACCTGTCGCAGATGGTGAAGGGCCCGAAGCATGCGCCCGGTCGAAGTCCTGTCCCAGACCTGCGAGGGCCTCGCGGCAGAGGGCCTGCAAGTGGCGGCCAAGAGCGCGGCGTTGCGCTCAGGTCATCGCGCCGCCAAGGTGGTGGCGGCTCGCTTACGGGCCATGGGGGCCCCCGCTGTCCCCGCCCTGCTGGCCGGCTACCTCGGCGTGGACGCAGGCGCGGGGCGCCGCGCTCGCCCCGCCGAGCGGCAGCGCGCGGTCGATGGGCCGCGATGCACAAGAGGATCGCGCGCTTTGCCGAGGCTACCTCTAGGCGCCGCCCGACGAGGAGGCTGGAGGCTGGGGGGGCCCAGCCAGCCGCCCTGCACGGGCGTCAGGTCTACGGGGCCTTCGGCTCGGACATGGTCGACGCGCGTCGACGCGTCAGTCGCGTGGCTCGACCTCAGGTTCGACGGGGAGGGCCGAGGCGACCGATTACCTTGCGATTGTTTTCGCGCGTGGCTGGCGCCCTGGTTCTCGGCCCCAAAGCTGCGGGCCAGCGCGCAGCTGGCCTGGCCCATGGTGGCGTCGAGGTTGGCAGGTATGGGTGTTAACCAGCGCCCCTGGCACGTGTGTGGGGGGGGGGGGGGGGCGATGGCGGCAGTCCTCGCATACCTTCTACACAACCAGTGGCATCTAGTTTCCGCCGCGGGGTGGGCCACCAGACTTCAGGGCGATATCTCCAGAGAGGCTTTCGTCTTAAATGGCGACCAGGGCGCAAAAACTGATTTCTCGGATCTGCTGCAGGAGCTTGAGCGCAGTATCAAGCTCAGGCAGTTGACCGCGGCAGCCTCGCACTACTGGCGGGCTGGCATGGGGGGCAGTGCTGGCAACAGGTCATGCCGCCAGCGCATCGAGCAGCTCGAGTCAGCACCCAAGGGCATCAATTAGCAGAGATGATGCTGACAGCGCATCGCGGACGAAGCAGGGGACAGCTCTGACGTCTTCTGCCCGCAGTGCAGGGAGGCCCCCGAGACGGCCTTCAACAGAGCATGGTCCTGTTGCCAGAATGCCGACGCCGAGGCTTTCCGGGCCTCGGGCTGGCTCCTGGCACAGGTATACGCCCAGCACCAGTCTGCGGCGTGTGTTTCGCCGCGCTGCATTTTGCCTGCGCGTTGGACACACGTCGAGCCGCCCCCTCGCGTCGAGCAGTGGCTGGTCAGCGGGCTCGAGGGCCCTCTTGGTCCTGGCTCGCTCGGTGCTGGCACGCGCGCTCGTCCCCGGCTGCTTTTCGGAGATGCCAGTGGGGGCCCTGAGTCGAAGAACGCCCGCCTGAGGCGCGTTGGACTTGGAGTTGTAGTCATGTCTTGTCTCGACCCTCCCAGAGTTGACGTGGCTCTGCGAGGTTTCCTCCCAGGTCTTGCTCAATCTGCTCCTCGAGGCAAGCCCCTCGCCTTGATAGTAGCAAAGGAGTACATTGTAGGAGTCATGCAATACATGATTGACAATGAAGCAGTGATGATAGGCTGGTGTCAGGAGTTGTATGCGAGCCCGCACGGTGATCATTCAGATATGTTGGACTGTTTGGGCCGCCTTCGTTGCAATCGTGACTTCGCAAAGGTCACAGTGCAGCATATCCCGTCGCACCTCGCAGCTCAGGAGCTCGCGGGAACAACTCGCCCGTAATGGCTCACTTTAGGTAATGCTGCGACATCTGAAATTGCTCGCGTCGCTGTTTCGGAAACCAGGGTGTGCGAGCGCACTGTTTGGATGAATTGCTTACGTGTTGAATTTATCCCCCAAAACGAAAGATTTCAATTTTGCCGAATGGTCAGGGCATACACATCGGTAGCATGTGGATTCATCACAGCCACGATATGTTGTTTCACCCAGATTTGAAGGTGTGGTTATGCAAATTGTGTGGCTTCTTTGGGAGCGTACATTCTCGGAAGGACCTTCGAGAGGCTTGTCTGAGTTCCCCCGCACCCACACGTGTAGGGAATAACAGCAGGATTTACGAGGGTAAGTGGCCCGAGTATTGAACCAACCACAACCAGGCTGGGCAGAGCGCTCAGCTTGTGGTTTTGGCAACGTCATTTCGCTTCGCGATCGGTCCTGTCCTATCCTGTCCTGTCCTCCTCCTCCTCCTCCTCCTTTTCCTCCTCCTCCCCCTCCTCGTCGCGATCGCCGGGCCCGCCGGCGCCCGAGGCCGCAGCGCCCGAGCGGCGTGGGGCGGGCCTGCTGTTCGGCGCGGCGAGAGCGGCAGTCGGCGCGGCAGGCGCGCCTGCCGTCGGCGCGGCGGTGGCCTCCGCACTGGGCGCGGCGGGCCTGCGCCGGGCGCCTGCAGCGCCTGGCGCCGCCGCGCTCCACGTGGGCGAGGCGGGGTCCGTGTTGATCTGGTCGGTTCGATGCGATACAGTCGGCCTTGATTGGGCAGGACACGCGAGAGGACACAAGAGCCTGCCGAGGGAAGGCACGTGTCGCGAGGCACAGGACACAAGGGTAACCTTGAGCTGGCATGGTCGACCTACTAATCCGGCCGATTGTATGGCGCCATCCAATCTGCTCGCGTCACATGGGCTCTGTGTTGGAGCGGCTGTCATGGCCAATGCGGGGTCACGTGGCCCCGTCGGGTCACGGGGCCAGCACGGGGTCACACCAGCCCCGTTGGGATCCCGAGGGCTCCCCCCGAGGGTTCTGGAGAGGGGTCACACAGCATGCCCGCAACACGGGTGTGTTTCTGCCACAAGTTGGCGGGGTCCATGTCGATCCCATCGGTCTGAATTCGATCGGTTCGCAAGAGGTGAAGGTACCGATGTCGCAGCCCTTGTCTCGTCTTCGCCATCCTCGGCCTCCTGGGAGGCCCTCGTCGCCACGGCTTGATTCGCCCTCGGACTTCTGGCCACAACGCACCCTGGGGGATGTCTGGGGAGCAGCGGTATGTGTTGTTGAAAATAACGACTCTCAACGCAAGGCGCGCAATGGTCGCCAACACTTCGCCCCAGTCGCATATGGCGGACGCGTGTCGACCCCTCAGGGCGGGCGTTGTCGCCTCGCAGACTGTGCCTCGTCCCCCCGCGAGAGCGGCCAGCGGCAGTCCAAGGGGGCAGCCCGCCACAACCGCGCGCCTCCCCCACCCTCCTCCGAGCAGTGCCTCCCGCCCCTCAACCCCCCAAGAAGCAAAGCTGACCAGGACGAGCGGCGACGAGGGGCCTGGATTCAGCTTCGCATTCCGTGGGGGAGGGGGGGGGAATGCAGAACGCATGGGCGTCGCCCGAATGATGATCCGGATGATGATGTTATTAATGATGGTGCTGGAGATACTGATGATACTGATGATTACCATTATGATCGTGGTAATGCTGATTATGACGGTGATAATGAGCATCATAATCATGAACACCAGCACCACCATGAACATGGTCGTTATTTTTGACAACACCGTTACGGTTGGGGCGTTTGTTGAGGAATGTGCCCGGGAGGTTTCGGGCCCTGGAGGATTCCTTCTCGGATGAGGGCGGCGGTGGTAATGTTTCATGACCTAGCCTGAACTGTCGTTCCATGTGGTTTCAGAGCTTGGATTATTTATCGAAGGGTTCCTTATGCAAGGCCCTCACCGTATTGATCTCGGCCAACCTGTGCGGCCATGTGCTTGCGAGTCGCACCTGTGCATCCAGGCGCAGCCGACGCGATTCGGTTTCGACGCCGTGCCGATGCAGCGCCGATCCGACGCACGTCCCGAGCCGATCCGATTTCCCGATTCGATTCCGACGGAACCCCGAGCAAGGTGATCGCAGGGCTGATGGTGCCTCCTCTCGGAGGAGGGCGGGTCGAGACAGCGGCGGCCCTCCAGGGGCGTCTTTTCCGTCCTCCCTTGGGGCCCTTGGGGAGGCCTCTCGTCACAAGAGTTGGGCCCGCCTCGAGCAGCAGGTGGGGACGGACCTCCAGAGGGTCTGGAGACAGATTTTGGGCGCATTTGGGCCCGGTGGGAGATCCGCCCTGGTCTCAATTGGCCCCTTCTCCGATCCTCAGCTCGCTGGCGCCGCGAAGCTGCCGACGGAGATCGAGCTCCGGGCGCTGCTGGCGGAGGCGAGGGGCGTGCTTCTTTCGCAGCCGGTACTTCTGGAGCTCGAGGCACCCCTCAGCGTGCTTGGGGACATCCATGGGCAGTTCAAGGACCTCCTCGCCTGGCTCGAGCTGAGCGGCGGGCAGCAGGCGAACTACCTCTGCCTGGGCGACTACGTCGACAGGGGTAGGCAGTCGTTGGAGGTGATCGTTTTGCTGCTGGCGCTGAAGGTGAAGCGTCCAGAGAACGTGTTCCTGCTCAGAGGGAACCACGAGTGCGCATCGATCACGCGCATCTACGGCTTTTACGACGAGTGCAAGCGGCGATTCAATATCAAGCTCTGGAAAACCTTCATGGACGTTTTCAATTGCCTCCCGGTGGCGGCGGTCATCGAAGACAAGGTGTTCTGTTGCCACGGCGGCCCCTCCCCGGAGCTGTCCGACCTCAGCCTGGTCCGTGGCATCCCCAGGCCCACAGACGTGCCGGACTCCGGGATCCTCTGCGACTTGCTATGGGCGGACCCGGCAAAGGACGCGAGCGGATGGCAGGAGTCTGGGCTTCCCAACTGGGGTCCGATTCGGGTCGGAGGATCGCGCCGCATCGGCGATGCATCGGCGATGCGGCTCGATGTGGCGCCCGACTTTCTTTGCACCGACGGCACCGCCGACTTCGCCGATGCATCGGCGCTGCATCGACGGTGTGGCGCGATTATCCGACCCCATCTACTCGGATCCCAGTTGGGAGGCCTTCAAGGAGAACGACCGCGGCGTTTCGTTCACCTTTGGCGAGGACGTGGCGGCCTCTTTCCTGCTGCAGCACGGCCTCGACCTCATCGTGCGGGCGCACCAGGTGTCGGAGCAGGGCGGGTTGAGACAACGGCAGCAAAATTGGCCCCTGGATTCCAGACTCCTCCCGGAGTCCATACGCAACAGCTTTCTGAGCTATGTCCATCCGTGGCGAGGAGGGGGCCCTCCGATGGCTAGCTACCGTTGTCTCAAGTCGCCCTCCGTTGAAGGTGGTTGAGGACGGCTACGAGTTCTTCGCTGGCAGGCGCCTGGTGACCGTGTTTTCCGCGCCCAACTATTGCGAGCAGTTCGACAACGCGGGGGCCCTGCTGGAGGTGCGGTCCGACCTGCAGTGCGGCTTCAGGCTGCTGCCCGGGCGCGCGACGGCTTGGCGATGAGAGCCGCGCCTGCGCGCATCAGCTGTCTTTCCTTCTCCTCCCCCTTCCCTCCCCGCACTCCTCTCTCCTCCCTCCTGCTTCGCCTTCTCCCTTCTCTTCCTCCCGTCCTGCTCTGCGTCTCTCCCTCTCCTTCGTCCCACGACTTCTCGTCCCTTCGTTACTCTTTCCACATTCCTTCTCCATCCCTCCTCTTCCTCCTCCTCCTCCTCCTCTTCCTCTCCCTTCTCCTCTTCCTCCTCCTCTTCGTCCTCCTCGCATCGCATCGCATCACATCTAGGGTGTTAGAACGACAAAGAGCGCAACCCGTTCCAGGGACGTTGATTTACAGTGCGCGTTCAAGAAAGGGGCGCTAGACGAGCACGCCTACCACCACCCCGGAGCTTATGGGCTCAAGGCCCGCGCCCACAGGCTCCCCGCACAGCCCCACGGGTCCACCCGGCGAGAGGGACGTGCGGGGCGGCGGCGACAAAGGAGGCCAGCACCACTTTCTTCTTCCTCCTTCGAAATTTGTTTGATTCTTCGTGTTCCAGATCTGTCATGGACAACTGTCATGAGAGGCGCCGCTTCGAATGGCTTGTTGGGGATGCCATCAGCCAGCCCGAGCACCTTCAGCACCTGCGCCGGCATCTTATTCATGGTTCGGACGCCGATTTGATTTTTCCGGGATCGAAAAGTCTGAGCGAGCCAGTTTCCAAGCAGATCGCATGGTCCCAAGTATTGCTATTCGATTGCGGGAGGAACCCTAGACATGCAGCGTCCCCCAGGCACGTCCTACTCCAGATCCTTGAGAACACAGCAGAAGAGGATCACGGACGTCAGGCATGCGCTCGCGTGATACAGCACACGTTCATCGAGCCTGGAGGCATTAGCACGCCTGTGTTGCAGGATGTGGGCGTGATGGGAGGTTACTTGCGCACATACCTAAGCACAGGTTGCGTGAGGTAGTGCACGCTAGCGAAGGCATTCTCAGCTCTGCTTGGGGAGTACATGGTCTTGCACATCCATTTGTTCTGGTCGATTCGTGGAGATTGAAGAGAAGAGATTCGCAACTGCCAGGGCCAAGTATTTAATTTTGTGGCTTCGGCGTCAGACGGGATCGCGTTCTGGCCCAGAGCACACATGGTCCAAACCTAAGGGGTGGCAGGCAGCTCTTGAGCAGGTTAGCATGAGTCAGGGCCCATCTAGCCTCCCAGGTGATGTTACAGGCCAGTGGGAAAAATATTCGAAATTGTTCCGTGGCTTGCCCAGGCGCATATGATGGCCTGTTCGGGCAAAGCGAGGTCATGTTCCTGGGGGACTTGAAGGAGCTCCTGGATTGTGGGCTTGGCTTACCACCGCTGACGATTGGACAATTGAGGGGGGCGGCCGAGAGTTTCCCGTAAAAGACGGTGGTGGGGTCTGATGTTTTCCTGCTGAGGCATTGTGGGCTTCCGTCGAACGTAGGCCTGTCCTTGCTGGCTATGGATTCGTTCTTTGTGGGACGTGGGGTGCTTGGCCTTAATTGGTCTCGCACACGTACATCGCATTGTTGGTCAAGGAGGGTACCGTCCCATCGTCTTGCGCCGTCGATCAGCACATTGTGGGGGGAAGGCGAACCTTCAATGGGTCAGATCAGGGGTGGGAAGGTTACACCATCCTGTTCCAGCTCTCGGCGCGGAAAAGTCCAGCTCGGATGTGGCAGCCAGAGCGTTGGTCGAAGCTGAAGCGGCCTCGAGCGGCAAGCTCGACGCGCAGGTCACTGTCCACGCCAGCATTGACATAGAGAAAGCCTTCGACAAGGTATGTTGGGAACGTCTTGCGAAGGCCGACACCGAGCATGGCAACTTCTTGCGCAAGCTGTTGGCATGCATATGAGTTCGAGGCGGTTTTCTTGGGAGTCGTGCCATTCTCAACCAGCATGGGCCAGTCGAGGGGTTATTCCAGGATGTTCGATGGCAGTGTTCGGGCTGCTGTCTGCCATGCGATCGTCGTCCGACTGCGGATGGGGGCACGCGTCGCACTTGCCGCGTAGTATTGATAGTTCTGCTGATGATTAACAGCATGCATTTGCGACGCTTTTAAGAATTTTCTGTATGCGGCACGCGCAGTTTCACGACTCGTCGTCCGAGCCTCGGCTGATATTGGTCTCCCGCCGGCCTGACGCAACGTCGAAGTCGCACGTTGTTGGGCCTCCCATGTGACATGGCATATATAGGAAGACGGGGTCCACGGGGCCCCAGTTCCAGAGCCCCTTGGAGGTCGTGGGCGTTAAGACTGGACTAGACAAGCCGCTTAAGTTCAGACGTTTGGGGTCGAGGGTAGCGATGTCGGGCGGGCGCGCTTCGACTGCAGCGGGGTTAGGGAAGTTGGGCCGGCTGCGTCCAAGGTTGTGCGACGGGCGATTCTGCCCGCCATGGGATGCGGATCGGGGGCGCACGGGGCCCCGCCACCGTTGGCGGATTAATGCGCGGTGCGCTTCGCCGTGCCCGGCACGCGCCAGGAGCCGCCGCGTCGCCCCTGCGCGGGGGGAGCTTTCACGACCCGCAGGTTGGGGCGCGGGCAGTGCCTTTGACGCAGCGAGCACTGGCGCGTCGCGACGGCATGGTCTCGCCGGGTACATCGCAGCGCGCGTGGCAGCACCAGTTGCAGACAGCTTATTATTCGGAGCTTCATGGGGACTCCCTCATGGCGCCAGGGGGGCAGTGCTGAAGTCTCCGAACAGATTGAGGTGGTCGTCTCAATCGGCGTTCGTCTGGGCGCGTCTGGGCGCCAGACTTGGGGCATCTCGGGTCTTCGGAGCGCCGCGCCATCATCGATGGGCGCAACTTGCCCGGCGAAGTCTGCTCGTGGATTGCTGGCAAGCTAGGCCGCGAGGCCCTTGCCAGCATATCATGTTCGGATGGCTCCAAGAGAGCCGCGGGGGCACTGGCTCGAACCCGCGCGCGGGCTTGCTCGTCGAGCTTGGGGGCCCGAGGACCATTATGATGAAAAGCCCCCCGTCGGCGCCCGAGGAAGAGGACCCGTCGGCAGGTCGGCGAACGCGTCGGCGCCGACGACTCAGGAGACAGCCGTGCATCGAGCGTTTGTGGGAGGCGGCGCGGGGTCGCCTGCGCGTTCGAAGCGTTGCCAGCGCACGGCGGACTCGCCCTGCCCCTTTTGCCGGGGGCGGGGGGGGGGGGGGGGCGAGTGCGGATCGCGGTGCATCGCGCGGGGATGTATTGCTTCGGGCGAGAGCGGACATGAGAGATGAGGGGACGGGGCCCACGGCCGTGCGAGGCCTCCAGGAGAGAACTGCGAGGCCCTGGGCATGGGGGCCGCGGCCTGTGCCCTCGCTCGCGTTGCCCTCCTCCTCCTCCTCCGCCTCCTCCTCCTCCTCCTCCTCCTCCTCCTCCTCCTCCTCCTCCTCCTCCTCCCTCCTCCTCTCCTCCTCATCCTCCTCCTCCTGCTCCTCCTCCTCCTCCTGCTCCTCCTCCTCCTCCTCCTGCTCCTCCTGCTCCTCCTGCTGCTCCTTTTCCTCCTCCTCCTCCTCCACCTCGTGGCATTCTCCGCGCTTCTTCCTCGTTCGGCTGGGCGGCGGCGCATCTTGCTTGCGTTTGTCAGGGTGGCCAGGCAGGATTGCATCGTGCACGGCGCGCATGCAGGGCGATTGATTGGGCTCAGGCACATCTGAAGCGCGCCCGGACCTTCTGGCAACAAGAACGGCCCATTGGGCGAAGAAGCTTGTGCCATCATGTCTGCGCGCATCGCTTGGAATCCACGCGCGTCGAGCTCGGTTGCGCGTCGGCGCAACCGCGGGCCCGTCGCAGTCGACGGCGCGCCCCCGAGGCGCGAGCAGGGGGAGGGGCGAGGAGTGGCAGGCGAGGCGCTCGGGAGGGCCTGGTAGAACTCCGCCAGGCCATCACAGGAGCTTCCACCGGGATCGTTCCCGGAACGGCGCCCCGCAGATCCCCGGGGCGCGCCCCGAGGGGCGCGCCGGAGAACGGCGGAAGGTCCCCGAGAGAACTCCGAGAGAGCTCCCAAAAGAGGACCCACGCGCGCGCGACAGCGCCGCCACCAGGGCGCCGTGGAAACGCGCAGGAGGCCAACGCGTTGCCCAGCCCTACCGAACCGACCACCGCGCAGGCCCCGTCTCGGGGACCCCCCAGGGATTGCCGCTTGCCCCGTAGGCCCCCGCAGGTGCTCTTCCGGGAACCACCCGTCCCGCCAGGCCGCGCCCGCACCTCGCTGAGACCTGCGCCCTCCCCCGCGGCCGCCCGCGGCATTCCGGGCGGGCGCCGGCGGGGGCGGCTGGGGAACGCGGCCTACCGCGTAGCAACTGATCGGGCAGGCTCGACGTTACCAAGATTGCATCATGGGGCATAGGGCGATCCGTTTTTTTGTCGGGCGGCGCCCACTTCGAAATCGCGCCCGATGCGACGGGCCTCACTTTCGTATCGGGCAGGGCCGCCCCAGGGCGCAGGCAATATTTGTTCGAGCCCAGGCAGTAGTTTTTTGGGACATGCACATTTTGTCCTGGCCTGGGCAATCTGTTCTGGGCCCGGGCATTGTTTGTTCGGGCCCAGGCAGTATTTATTCAGACGCGTGCGATCATCATTTTTTCGGACCCAGACTGTCATGTTTTGGGCCCCGGCAAATTCTTGAGCATGCGCATCCCCCTTTCTCCTCGTCCTCATCCCCCCCCCCCATCTTCCCCCCGAGCCCATCTCCCCCTCCTCGCCGCCCCCCCTCATCTCCTCATCCCTCTCCGTTTCCTTCCCTCGCCCGCGACGCCTCCCTCTCCTTGCCTCGCCCGCGACGCCGGCCGCGCCAGGGCCCCTCCTGTTTCCTCCCCCCCTCCTCCTCCTCCTCCTCCTCCTCCTCCTCCTCCTCCTCCTCCTCCTCCTCCTCCTCCTCCTCCTCCTCCTCCTCCTCCTCCTCCTCCTCCTCCTCCTCCTCCTCCTCCTCCTGGGCGCGCGATCCCAGCGCACTTTGAATTGTTGCCGGCGCAAGCCCCCAGTGCTTCGCACCGGCCCACCAGGAGCAGCCGCCGCCTTACGCCCAGCACGAGGACCCAGCGTCCAAACAGCGGCCGCCCC